ATAGATCGGTGATTCACTTTGGTTTCTTGGATGCTATCCAGCCACGTCACCATGCATGCGAATTTTGTGGATGGAGTCAGAGGGTCTGCATGCACGGAGCTGATTTAATTAATTAACTTGTTGCCAGCTAGTACCTAATTAAGCATGTGTGTTAATTTATTATTAATTACTTTGCTAGTGTTAATTTATCCTTAGTTTTTTTATTCGAAACTACTAGCATGCATGCCTTTGTCTTTGTCAGAGAGAGAAACCGATGGAATATCCTCGTTTCAAAAGTCCATGCATAATGTGCATGCTGTGTGGATTCGTGCTGTATTTTCCTGGGTAGATAAGACCAAAAAATCCCACTTACCAACTAGGTTTTTTAAAAGTCTGGTACATCGTGAACCATGCTGCTTCACGTGGTCGGAACTATATACGTTAAGATCAAATGTGCTCAACGTGGTCTGGCACATCATGGATCATGCTGCTTCATGTGGTCGGATCTAGATGCATTAGGAATAATCCTTTTCGTAGTAGTGAAACTAAAGAACTTCACTTGCCAACTACTTCCTCCGTTTCACAATGTAAGTCATTCTAGCATTTCTCACATTTATAATGTTCCTAATGAATCTAGATAGATATATATGTTTAAATTCATTAGCATTAATATGAATATGGGAAATGCTAGAATGACTTACATTGTGAAACGGAGGGAGTAGTTTTTTTAGAGTCTGAACAAAGATGAAACTTTTTGGAAAGGTGCTCCTGATGACCAAGTTCAATTCACCAACTGAAATCGCACACTGGATTTACATGAAAAATGCGAGATAGACAAAAATGATTTCTTTCGGTTCTAAATTAATACTCCCGGCCATTTGGGAGGAGCAATATGTACATATGCATTCATCACACTTCAGCTTTTTTGTCTTTTTTTTCCTTGGAGTTTTAAGAATGCTCATAATTAGGGCATGCAAGTTGATCCATTGATATATTCGCAATATTTGACGATTTTTTTTTCATTTTAAAAATTGTTGACGATATTAGCTTAATTTTGGTATGGAAAATATCGGTTAATTTATCCCCAATTTTTATCAAGAGAGAAAATGAACCATGAGAGTTGAGGTGCTAATTAACCACAAGCAGAAATTCATTTTAATTTGTGGTATATATATATACACGAGCATGCATGTAAAGATGGAAATATGTGAAAAATATAATGGTGCTAGTAGATTTGTCTAAAACACTTCCATAATACTATGATCAGGACACTCGATAAGGACAAAGTTAAATTTTAGGGATTGTGTCATTATCAAAATTATCAATGAATAATTGGCCAGAGGGCCGGGATTAGCAAGGGTCTACTACTGTCCTGCCATTTCATTAATTAATTAGATTAAGTCCCCGATTCCTTGCATCTCTAATTGGCCTACGAGAACCGACAAAAATCGCAAGATGGGAGGATTGTGGTAGGTTATCTTCTCCAACTGTGCCTCTCAAGTGGCCATAACATATTAGCCAGAAGGATAAATAATCATCAATCTGCCTTCACAGTTTTGATCATCTCATGAGACATATATATAAACCACCCATTAGCAAGAGTCTCCTAGGTGAATTAATTAACTATGCTGATACACATATACTTAATTGGTATAAGAAAATTAGTAGTGATAGTTAATTAGTATAAAAGCATCAATCAAATGGAGACTATTAGCTAGCTAGGAGACCGGGCAAGCAAAGCAAAGCATTGATCTTGATGAATCCTCCAGAGAGATTAATTGCATATTGCCAGTTCCTCCTGACCTATTATATGCATGCAAGTGCTCTCTGTACTTGTGCGGTGCAACGACGAGTAGAACTGAGGGTGCGCCTTATATACGCCGGACGAGTAAAGAGTGAGTACGTTTGTAGTGACGTCTCCAATTTTAGTTTCTATGGTAGTGAAATATGCGACGTTTGACACCTCAAACTGGAGAAAAATTGGAGCTGTGAAATGTTTTCTTTTTTTATATACGTGGAGCTCTGAAATATTGACAGTTTTGTTTTTTTCTATAAAAAAAGCCAAGAAGAGTTGACGGCTTATCGGTAGGCGCTCCTCGATGGAGGGAGATGAGCTTAAAAAGTTTCAGTAAATGGACCCATGGAGTGGAAATGCGGAGTGGAGTGGAGCAGTAATAAAATTTAAAATGCCACGCGCAGGGCATCTCGACCACGACAGGACTCTCCTTGAGATCTTAGAACAGTGTGTGCTTGCTAGCTGAACTGCAGCAGTGGAACAGTAATAAAATTTAAAACAGATGTGCAGTGTTCACAGAGGACGAGTGTGCTCTGTGTTCTCTGCTTGTGAATAGATATGGCGATATCTGCTTGTGAATAGATATGGCGAGTACTATTACTGGGTATACATGGTTAGGACAGATGTTAGTTTGTTCTGCTTGTTTGGAGATGGATTTGGGAGCAAATGTACATGGTTAGGGCGCAAATGTTAGTTTATTTTGCTGTGGAGGGGAGTGGGTTTTTGTCACCTCCGGAATTTCCATCTAAAATTCCAAACGCTTACATGTGTGTTAAACCCTCGTCCAGGAATCAGCCGAGGCACACAATAACAAATTGATAATAGAGTATGAATAAACAGCGAATTAATATTCACAAATAATAAATCATTACAGAGGTAGATAGTTCCTCTCAAAGAATAAAATTCTACGCAGCGGAAAATAAAACAAACTACGGAACAGCTATGGTGTCTCCACTCCACAAGCAACTTAACCCAGATCAAGCCTAGTCCTCCAGATCATCACCTTCACTGAAGTACTCCTCCTCTGATGAATGAATATTGCAAGAATGAGCATATGCCATACTTAACAAGCCACACAGCAAATATGCAAGTGCACAGGATAACAAAGGACGGCATAATAAAGTTCATTTGCATAAACAACATTTAATAAATATTTAGGAGAATAGTAAAACAGTTGAATAATTAATCAGTATTAAATAAACACTACACAACACACCCGTGTTGCATAGGCCCCACCTCATCTGAACAACCACCCCGGTTGTACAAATCAAACCTCGATACCAGGAATATGCCACTCCAAACCAGGAGTCAAATTAATTAACACAATTACCAATAATGAGTAGTGTGAGACTAATCATGAAAAACATTGTTCAACTCACCCATAACCGCGGGCACGGCTATTCGAATAGTTTTACTCTGATTAGAGGTGTACCACTGTACCCACAAGACACAATCCCACAACATGTCACCATGCGACTCAGTACCACCACGGTACCTTGGAAAGGAACTGTGACAATACTCCAAAGGAATGTTTAGGCTTAAACTAAAATGATGAACAATGTTGATCTTTTATGTTTAGGCAATGATGAACACTTATTATGCAACTGTGATGATGTAACTGTGATGTTTATATTTATGTATATGTTTCATATGTTTATACTAAGACTTGCTAAATAAATATTTGTTCCAATTAACTCGGTTTTGTAGGTGAAACATGATAAATATTCAATGTGAAATATGTGAATGGATGTGAAATATGAGATGGCTGTGAATGTGTGGTTGTGTGAAATATGTTCATGTCTGTGTATGTGAATGCATATGTATATGAATGGTTGAGGCTGGGGAGCTGGGGATATTGGATATCTGTGTTTGTTTCTGTCATTTTTGCAGCGGGCATGGCTAGCAAAGGCCTGAGGCTAGCCAAAAAACAAAATTTATTTTTTTTGTGTATTATAGTCATCTGTGACGGGCCATAACTAAATGCCCGATTGAGATGAGATCATATGTGACGGGCTCTAGTTTAGGCCCGATTGAGGTCAGTAGGCATCTGTGACGGGCTATAGTTTAGGCCCGATTGAGATGAGTATCATCTGTGACGGGCTCTAGTTTAGGCCCGATAAAGGTTAGTAGTCATCTGTGACGGGCTCTAGTTGTGGTCCGATAGAGATAGGTCATCTGTGACGGGCTATAGTTTGACTGGTCGTCTGGGTCAAAGCTATCTGTGACGGGCTTTACTTAGGGCCCGATTGAGATATATTCATTCGTGACGGCCGTTTGCCCGATTGAGATAACTCTTCACATCAGTGACTTCTAGCCTGTGACGGACGCTGTGCCCGATTGAGATGGGGCTTACCGCCCGATTGAGATGAGGGTATCCGTTCTAGTGGCATCATTTCAACGTGTTTTTCAATACGAATACAACAATTCTATTTATGTATTACTAGTCATCAACCTGTGCACTTGCATGCGCTAGAAAAATTATGACATCAATTAACTGACGTGGAAGCTTTATTGGTGCATCCAATTACTAAATATAAGATTTATTCTTTGTTTCTCAATTCTTTCGGTCAAAAACGTGCATGTGTGTTATTCATAGAAACGTATGTAGTATTTGTAAGAAGTACAGTATCGAATTTCCAAAAAGTTCTGACCTTGTGCGATAATATACACACACATTAACCTACATAGGCAAGCTAGCTAGACCTAGAAATATACCATTTCTAAACCTATTCGGTCACTTACTCACATTGGGCAGCCTAACTAAACTAACATGGACTCACATGGCATGCAAGCCAGCCATGGTACTAACTCGTCTACCACGCCATAGTACGCTACAAACACAACTAAGTTATCTTATGAAGGACTACTCAATAGTACACTTAAAACATTATTACTCGTTTCCTTTTACCTTCATCTGACGGGTACGAGCTAAGTGTATCTGAAAATCATCTCCTTCTGTCCATCGGCGAAAACGTGCAAATTTAAAATTCCCTGGTACGCAGGACTAGATATGAAGAGTTTGTTCAGAGATTGTGAAACAAACATATACATCCATCAACTATATACATGCATAGGATACATACATACAATGCAGGTAGCCATTTGCACCATATTCATAATATACAAGTAGGCAGCCATCCGCACCTTATCCATACCAAGACGATCCATTTGCGCATTATCCACATCATCACATAAAGCTTCTGCCTATAAATAGCAGCAGCACCTTACATTCAAGAATCACCTCTCAACACACAACTAAGAAACATAGCTAGGTAACCAGGGAAGGTAGCATCAGCAGCAGGAGGCAATGGAGGGAAAGAGGACTACCACTTCGATGGTGATCATGTGCCTGGTCATCTTGAGCCTCACTGTCGACTCCGCCACCGCGGCACAGTGCGGCTGCTGCATATCCTCTCGGGCAAAAGCATGTTGTTTTGGTTGTATTGCTGCTGGTGGCTCCGACTCAATCTGCAAGAACACTTGTTGTTTCCCATGTATTCTGGCCGATTCTGGTAAATTCACTGAAGTCACTCTTTTAAATGCACTTCTTATATGTAGATACAGACTTTGTAGCATATCGTGGACTAATACATATGTGTGGCCTTCCATGCATTTTCATCAATATAGTTTGTTGACTTCACTTCCCATCTGACAACTTCAGGCATATATCTTGCAACATGAAGACAATTTATGCTCTACTTCCACTACAAAATTAATTAACTAATGCGCTAATGTGATTTCCATATTTTAATTTCACAGTTGTTGCTAAGATGGACGAAATGGGAGTTCTTGCTAAGATGGAAGGACAAGCCTAAAACAACCTACTCGCATTGCTACCAGTCTTAATGCCTTTCATAAGAATATGTTGTTTTGCTTCAAGTTATGGCCAAGTTATGTTAATGTTTATCTCCAATAAATTGTTGACCATATGGAGCGATCTATAGTCGATCCATCTGTTGGTCCCAACTATTTGTATGTCGTGCATATGTGCGCTCACAAGCATATTTAATTTCTCTTGCTACTTTTAATAAGGCCATAGCACTATCCAATGTGTCATCTGTTGGTCTCTGACCTTAGCAATTTAATGCAACATGATTATTATTATTTGTGTGTGCATGTTCTTTACTTAATTTATTCTTAGCGTATTTCTGATGTTTTTGTGAGTTTTAGACTATGGGAGATAATTAAGATTGTCATGCCAAAGAGTATTCCGAATCCTACTAGGAAAGCAAAGGGAGGGGGGAGGAAACATGGTCAATTTCTCGGCTGCTATCACATTCCTTGTATTCTTAGTGTAACATACCCGAAATTTTAGGACTTAAAATTTCTTGTCAAAATAGTTAGAGGTTAACTTCTCCAATTTTGAGAGAGCCAAAAATTTCCGTTTTAATTTAGGTGAAGATCAACTTAAACCATTGCATGATTATAATTTGAGAACAAAATAAAATCTTTTCATTCCCAACATTAGACTAGAAATGTCACCAAGCATACATGTACATAATGCATGCCTAGGCTCGAGTTCTTTGTGCATTTGGAGTTTTGGTCTTGCATTCCATAATAGGTCCCATGAGCATAATCTAAAAGAATTATTTCACCAAACAAACCTATAGTTAATCTTGGGTGATAACATGTGGACTTAATATTAAACTCAAATATCATCTTCTCAGTCTAAAAGAAAATTTAATGTAATCCCTATAATAATATTAAATGCAATTATGAAGTGGGAATACATATACAAACAAAGGTCATCCTAATTCTCTAAAATATTTTGTGCAAGATAAAATCATGGAAAAATTTATGTGGATAGTGATTAGCACAAACTTATCCTCCGTAATTTGGTAACGTGTTAACACTCAAGTTGATACCTCAAATTAAACGGTCAAAGCAGACAACTAAAAGAAATCAAATTAAATTTTAATCGGCTAAAACCATGTTTCATCCAAAAGTACATTTAACTGCACATAAGTGAACATGGGAAATAATGTATTCAAATACTAGACTAGTTATCATGCCTAAATATAATTTTTCTAGAATTTTCCTCCTCTCTTTAAGCCTCCTAAAAATTCAATCTAGCTTTCTAATAGCCCATCTTTGTTTAATTTCTGTGAGCAGTCCACCCATTATTTTTTTAGTGCAACCAAAGAAAATGGAATCTAGGTGTAATCATCTACCACCAGTAAAATCTACACTAATTCTTCTGGTCTACACATTGAATTATGTAGTTACAAAGTTAGAGGAGAAAATAATTCCGAAAAAAATGATCTAAAAATCAAGTTTACCCAGAATCTTACCCAACCCTCTCACCCTAGCCTAGTTTGCCATGACCTGGACCCACCTGGCAGCCTCTCCAGCTCGCCCTTCCTCTGTCCCTCATCCTCAGCCGACCAAGAAACACATAGAGGGAGAGATTGAGAGCCGACCGAGTCCTGGACGCGTCGACGCGTGGTGACGACGTGTCGACGCCTTCAAGTCACTGAGTCATGCCTCCATCTCCTCCAGACCGAGTCGCCCAACTCCACACATCACTCTGGAGCTGAAGAAGCCGAGGGAGAGGTCCTCAGCCTCTCCGTCATCCTCAACCTCGCCACTGGTCGTAGTGACGACGACCTTCGCCATCTCCGTTTGAGTCAAGGTCACCTCCATCTCTTTCGCGTTCCCATCTCTCCACACAATGCCGAGCATTTCCTCTTTTGACCTAAACCCCTCTCGTGCAGTGCATCGCCAGGAACGCAAGCCACGCCGACAACGCCCTGGAGCACGCACCGGAGCGCCGCCGCTTCAACCATCGTCGCCGTCCGGCCATTCTCATCCACCTCAGAGAAAGCCGCTGCGCCATTGTCATCGCCTCGACCTCCTCTTCAAAACGCCTCAAGAACCCCAGCCGGAAACATCAAGAACACGGAGAACACATCCTTTTCTTCACCGGCGCCAATCTAGGATCGCCTCCGCCGTCATCGTCGTTTACCGCTGCCTCGGTGAGCCATTGTTCGATTCCTTGCGCATACACCATCTCCTTGACCTCACAACCCTCGTGCATGCTTGCTTGAAGCAGCTCATTGTCCCGTTCGAGCCGTCGTCGTTCACCCGAGGAGGAGCGCCGTCGCCGAGCCGTTCCACAAGTCACCGCTGCCGCCAAGACCTCGACAACCCTAGCTCGACCCACGGTGAGCATCCTGAAGTCTAGAAGACTACATGCATGCATCCTTTTCGTTCGTAATCGACTTCCATGCACACATGCACTTTCACCCCAAAACCACCGCCGCTCACACTCGCCATCGGCGCTACTCCGATGTCCTCTAACCAAGAAAACTAGAGGAATGGAATCGCGAGAGCTTTCTCTTCATTTTATCTTTTGACCTCAACCTCAAACGAGCCACCGTTTGCCGCCGGCGAGCTCCAGATCGAGCTCAGCCATGGCTAGCTCTGCTCTGCCTAGAGCAGAGGGATGACTTCCGTGAATTAGATTAAGTGCAGGGATCTGTTTACAATTGTAGAAACACACTGACATATGGGCCTAGGACTGCGGGTTGATTCCTAGAAACCTCAAGGGCCTTTGTGCATATTGGTCCCTCACAGCCATGTGGACCCATCCTTTAAAATCTGAAGAATAATTAGGAAAATGCCCAAACAAATATGTTTAGCAGAAAAATGCACAAAGTTGTAAAATCTATATAAAATCAAATATAGCTCATTTTGAAGTGATTCTAGTTGCTGTAGATTCTTGAAGTTATGAACTTTATTCCAGGAATATAAAACTTGACACTCACTGTACAAATAATGTCTCTAAAATTTATCTAAGATAGGTCATACATAAAACATGTACAAACTTATAAAATACATAGAAAATTCATCACAACTCATTTTGAAACAAAATCAAATTCTACAGATTCATCATCATACAGTCTCTGATTAGGTGAAATAAAAGTAATTACTTACTTTGCATCAAATGCCTCTAAAACTATTATCTCTATAATGATTAGTTTTAGATAAGCTAAACTTTAGAAATTCATGTAGAACCCAATTTAGCTTCAATTTGAGTAAACTTAAGTTCTGTAGGATCACTAAACATGTATTTCTAAGTTATGAAATAAGATTATATACTTACTGTGTAGTAAAAGTCTCTAAATATTCATATAAGGATTTACTAACATAGAGCAGCCTTTAATTTGTAAAACTTGTAGAAAATTTATTTTTAGTCCAAATGAAATGAACAAAGTTTCTATAGAACCAGCAAATAGTTATCTTCAACATGGTAAAATAAAATTTGGAACCTTTTGTAGAGAACATAGATCGAAACCTTAACTTAGTGAAATAAGAATTTAAACACATAGTTGTTTAAGTAATACATAAACATGTATAAGTATATATATACACTTTAGGTCTAATTAAACCTAAATAAAAACTTGATTGACCAGTGAAGCCATAGTTCCATCCTCATCCACTAAAACTTAGAAGAACTTGGCTCATATAACAATTTCTAGGTTAATATAATATATTGCTAGTTTAGATTAGAGCATCTCTAGTTTATAAAATATGAACCATACTAGTAAAGACCATAAACATGTGAACTAAAAATGTTTTAGATAACCAAATTATTCCTTTTATTCAACTTAAACAGGAAGTAGCATGTTCTGAACCTATAACTCAAAAGTCATGAACATATAAAACACTATACACCAATAACACGTTATAACTTGTAAAATGCATAAAGAATTCATTATAAATCCAAAAATTGTGAAACCAAATGTGTTAGTATTAGAAAACACATCTCCACACCCCTGTGAAGTCTAATCTAGTAAAAATCACTTTACAAAAGTATTTCATAACACTACCTAAGACTATACTACTATAAACCGATAAAACTTCTAAAAAGTTCATAACTCCCTAATGGAATAAGTTAAAATAAAAATTCTTTCACCTAAATTCATTTTAGATCAGTACCAACCCACTGTGCATAAATCATGCATTTTAGAGCATTTTGGATTTTCAGCTCTTTCGGTGTTTAATTGCATATCGTGTCCTTTTATCTAGATAATTGCATAATCGGTGAAGGAGTGGATTAGGTGCTAACAATTCTCTGATCAAGGCAAGTTTTCTCCTCCCATCCTTTGAACACATTGAATCCCATGATTTGAGGAATGAAAATATTTGTTTGCAAAGTTGCATGTGAACTTAGATTATATCGGTATTTGAAATTGGGTTAAGGTAGTTATGACCTATTTGCTGCATACCCCACCTTGAATAATTGATCCTCTTGCTGTTTGAACCCCTAGAAATGGTTAGAGTACACTCTTTGTGCTCAAATGGGTTTATATATGCTCTATGTGCAACTACTTTGCTTAGCCATGCTTAGAAATATGCAAATGCTCATTCCATTTATAATTAAAATGTGGTTTTGATACTTGAACCTTCGCTAGAATAAAATGAATATGATGGGTATTTGCGAACTAAAATGTGTAAAATGTGATTTTACACTTGGGCAGCAAGTGGTGTGCATACAGTGTTAGTTGCATACCGATAGGGGGAGTGTTTGCCCAAGTCCATAAGGACCGAACTTGTGTCACCCATTTAAAGTTATTCGTACATCCATATGTGCTAGTATGGGATGGCCTAAGCTGATTAATCTATTTAGGACTAGCCTTGCATTCTGGTAGGCCGGTGTGTATGAGTTCGTATAATTCAGAGGAGCTTCCTATTTACCCCGACGTGGTAGTTTAGGTGACTAAGCGTGTCCAATACAACGGTATTGTGCCACGTGGTGGGTTCCCGTCGTGTCCGCCACCACGGTGTTAAGTTTAAGGCGTGGGCCCGCCACTTAACGGTTCTAGGTATATTCCAAGTATGCCTAGGATGGAGGAACACGTATCGTGCTGGTGCAAGGCTAGGCTCTAAGTAGTGTAAAGGCTTCGTTATGACCTCTAGATCACATTCAACATGAAGAGTGTGGTGGAGTCTTGCAAACTCAAAACAAACTAGAGAGTTCATATCATGTGGGTAAAGCTGTACAAACTCTGCAGAGTTCTTTAAACTAATCGATTAGCCGTGCTCACGGTCATGAGCGCTTTGGTGATGTGTCATGAGTATAGACTATGTTTTAAAAATGTGATCATGTGACACTGGTTTGAAATTGATAAATGTGTTGAGTTGTGTATGTGGTGATACATTATGACTTATTGTTAAGTATGGCAATAAGAGATTGTTTATGATGGAATTATGAAGAAGTTAATAATGAAACTCAAAACTTGTCTTTGTTAATTGAAGCATCAACTCTTTTACAAAAGAATTGCGAAACAAAACTTGCTTTATGCTGAAAATGAACTACATATTGTCTTCCTTTGAATATATGCCTTACATGTAGTATAGTAGGATTGACTTGTGCTTGCCAGTACATTAACTTGTTTAATGTACTGACTCTTGCTGTTGATATAACCTTTTGTTTGCAGGTTTAGTCTTAGTCTTTGAGTGATGCGGGTTCCGATTGCTTCTTCTAGGATGAGAACTTAATGGGGTAAACCCCTAGTCGGTGTGCTTGTGATTGGGTAGTCAAGCTTCCGCTGTTCTCTAATAAGTCTATTTGGCCGGTTGGCCTATGTAATTATTAAGTTGTTGTAAGTCTTAAGTTTCTTTCATCTTAGTTGTGTTTGCTATGTGTAATCATGCTTAAGATGAAAGTGTGAATCTAGTGCACATCCTGGGAACTAGATTCACATGAGTATGAGTTAGGAATATTTGAGAGGTTGTAGATCTTTAGCTATTTTTATCAAGTCTCCTGAATGTGTAACACATCTGGTCGCCGCCTTCGAGTGGTTTGACGGGCACATCTCAGGCTGAAGTTGACTGGCAGGCTAAGGGCTCAGCAATGTCTCCAATATTCCTCTCTCGAGGCGTCGGATGTTTCATTATGCTTGTTTGATGACTTGAATTATTCACTTCATCTCAAATATAATGGAAGGTCCGGAGAGCCTACGACACTTAGTCTTGGGAGACAAATAGCCACACTAAAGGCAATACAGCCGAGGAATGGCAACCTTACTCACAAGGACAAATAGTCATTAAAAAATTATGACAGCACTAACCATATCTAATTTCAGTTCACCAAACTTACATTTAAATTTAGGCAGTATTACGGAGATCTAAATCAACAAACAACAAACCATACTTCATTGTCAAAACAAATGGCCTTCTATGTACTTTACAAATTCTCACAAGATCATATTTGCAATTTTTCCTAAACTAATTAACCAAGAGAAAATATGTAGTGGAGGATTCCACATATAATTTCACAGCATAAGTACATAATACAATATGGTATAATACACATATGCACAGTACTTTGAAATATGCATACCAGAACATATGCTTTAGTTCACTCCATTCATTCTTGCATTCTTGCACATTCAACATCAATCAGATCTACCAAGCATTCTTGTACATTCAACCACAAGCAGATCTACCAATGAATCACTAACTTATGTAGCAATGGGGGAAATCGGAGGAGAATTAAAACCATTCCTCGTCAGACGACGGAAGGACAGGAGGCGGCGGAAGATTCACCGGCTGCACACCACGGCACGCGAATCCCTGAGGTGTGGGCATCGCATCTATCAGCACCAACGACATCGGCAGAGGCAGGGGTGGACTGGGGCTCTTTCGTAGACCGATGTAAACTAGACTTGTTGGCTTCGTTTTAGGGAGGGGACGGAAAAGAGATAAACTTTACCCGGCTGGCCTTTGGGCCTGCGTGGAGAGGGATAGGAGTTTGCTTGGTTTCAGCCAAAAGATAGGAAGAGGATTTTAAATAGGTTGCATATGCATGCTTTGTCTAAAGAAAATTCCTAAAAATAAATGAAGCAACAATAAATCCCACCAAAATTCTCATAAATACTAAACAACACCCTAAGCTTCCAGCAATTTTAGTTTGAATTTATCACATCAATTGATAACCCAAATAAATCTTTCAACACAGCTAAAAATCTGGAAACAGCATACCAATTAGCCTAGTTTGCACCTTCACCAAAATTAAACCATAACTCCTCTAGCAAAATCTCAAGGTCAGAATGTTAAACATACTTTATCATCTGGTGCAATGGCTTAGTCTAATTCGAAATGTAACCACATGAAATGAGAGCCATAAATTACGTAAACTTTGGAACTTGGCACCTTGAACCATCAAATCCTTGTCTACCTTGCCGTCTCCCCCCTAATTCTAAATTAAATGTATGAGAGAAAGAGAGTAATATAGTTTAGTGTGATAGTGCCAACACATGGAAAATTTAGAGCTTCTAGTTCTCTCCTTCTACATCTCTCTTAAATGTGGGACCAAGTCCTTGTGGGGCCCACTCATCATACAACCATAGCCAACACATCATCTGCTCTTCTCTCATTTAAATCTTCTTTTATTTCTCAAAAGGTGAGAGAAGGGTTTAAATTGAATTTCCACCCAAAATGCCACTCTACCACTCCAAGCCTTCTAGGAAACATCTATATATGGGCCTATTTGTCGTCCAAATACCTACAAACAACCTTGGTGAATCATCTCTTTGATCCTAAATTATATTTTCAAAGAGAGAAAGAAAGAGAGAGAGGGAATTAAAGTCCAATTTACACCCAAACTTCACCATACCTCTCATCTTCTCATAGGAAACATCTACATGGGGCCACTAGACAGCCACTCATGCTAGGTTGAGTGAAGTACAAGTGGGATCATAGCCTCAATTCACTGCCAACTCCTTTAAATCGTTTCTACCCCTCATGTTGACACCTAGCTCTCACTTTCCACCTTCACTTTCACCATTCACTACTACAACCAAGATTTTTGTGTGAGGGCTAAAATGATTTTTGCGTGCGGGTAAACGGCCCGCATGCACTTAGGGGTCTGGGAAAATGACGATTTTTGCGTGCAGGTGAAGCACCACCACAGGAAAACAAAAACCCGAAAAAACATAAATTTTCTTTAAAAATGAAATCCTAGAATCTGGTGGTGGCGCCGCCGCTCTTGCTTGCCGCTGCCGCCTCCTCGTCGTCATCATCATCGTCAGTGGCGGCCTCCGCGCCGCTCGCCTCGGATCCGTGCTCCCCTCCGGCCGCACCGCCGCCGACGCCCCTCCCCTCCGCCGGATCTAGGGAGGGAAGGAAGAGGAGGGGAGGGGAGATGGATGCCATGCGGGGGGAGGGCGGCCGGCCGCTGGATCCGTGCGTGGACGACCGCCACCGCTGGATTTTTGCGTTGATGGCCGCTGCCGCTGGATCCGTGCAGGGACGGCCGCCGCCCGCCGGATCCCACGCCCTCCACCGCCACAACGTGGAGGAGGCCGGCGCGTGCCTATGCCCACCGCGGCTGTCACCGCGCGCCGCCGCCGCTGCCGCCATCGGGAGGAGAGGAGAGGACAGTGGAGAGAGGAGAGGACATTGGAGAGAGGAGAGGAGAAGCGTGAGAGAGAGAGGACTGAGAGAAGAAGCTCTGCGTGGAAATTTTAAAGTTGAAAATGGGATTGAGGGGAGGGGAGAGGAGAGAAAGAGGTGAAATTTTAAAGTGTGTGAGTGGGAAAAGAGGGAGTTAGTATTTTTGCATGCGGCCCTCTTAATAGGTCCGCACGGGAAAATCGGCTCATTTTCACGTACGGTCCATTTAAGAGGACCACACGGAAAAATCTATTTTCCGTGCGGTCCTCTTAAATGGACCGTACGTGAAAATGAGCCGATTTTCCCAGAAGCGACGAGTTGCCGCCTGCACGGAATCTAAAAGGGTCCCTGTACTAGTGATTAATCTAGGCAACTCGCCACTGTGAACCTCATCTATTTCTCACAGTGTTCCACTATGCAAACCACCAAAAACTACCTCGGAATCTCCAAGAACTTCCACTTACTCTTTTCACCTGAAGGAGTTTCATCCATCGCACGTATTCTCTGGTGAGCTTCACCGCACTCCAACCATGGGAACGTGAAGTTCCTTCTCTACCTAATCAATCCATTTTCTTTGTTCCTATTTTGGCATAGATCGAACAGTTGGTGATATGCTCGTCGGCGTTCCCGGTCCATTGCGCCACCATCGCCCGACTTCGTCATTCCCGTCGACTCGAACCATCTCCGGCCGAGCCATTGCGCCACCGACGTCGCCTACGTCCCAGGAGAAAGACGCCCAAAAATGATCAAGCCAATATGCCGCCGCGAACGCCATCAGTCGCCGTTGCCCTCCTATTGCCTCTGCTTCCCTAGCCGCCAAGTCACCGACATGTGGGCCCCGGCTATTTAGCCACTTCATTAGGCGTAAGGACTTTCATTAGTAGAAATTTAAATCTTGTAAGGTTCTTTTTGTAAAATTGCTTTGTATGCCATGTGGGCCTATGGACCTAAACGCAGTTCACCTAATGCCCATGGACCTTTTTGTATAGGGTTTAGGGTAAGTCCTAAACCCTACTTAGAGATTACTATTTCATGCATTCATTACTTGATATAATAGCTTGATGAGTATGTTGTACTCACCATTGCTTTAACCCTCTCTTTGAGAATCAATTTGGAGTTTTTGCTGAAGCCGTGAGTTTAAACATATAAATTAGTTTCATTCCAACTTAGTTCCCATGTATAGATTAGATAGATGGTTTAATTCTATAGCAAAACATTAGAGTTGGCTCATCCTATAGCTTCTACAGTAATAGATAGCCACAATCTTGTAAATACCCTATTATTTTATGTAAAGAAATCACCTTTGGAGCCTTGATCAAATGTATGCGATGAAGATTCAGATTGTTGAACCTGTATCAATCTACTGATCCAGGGCTTGATACAGTTTAAACATGTCGGTTACTGAATCTTTAATTTTGGGACCTGACAAGGTGTGTGGGTGGGGGCCTAGAGCGGCCATCCCGCTCCCCCCTCCCCCCCTCGTCGGCCCTGACTACATGGGCCTTAACAGGCCACATGGCATCTTATCATGATTTCTGGGCTTGATAGTGACGAAGATGGACGTCATAGACTGTATGACGACAGAAGGATCATCACAATATTAATGACGAAAAGATAAGCATTCTTTATAGAACGCCATTAGAGACGCATGATAGGTTGTCACGCCCGGAATTTCTATCCAAAATTCCAAATGCTTACATGTGTGTAAACCCTCGTCCTGGAATCAGCCGAGGCACACAATAACAAATTGATAATAGAGCACAATTATTACTCTAATTAATAAGCGAATAAAATGTCATTACAGAGGTAGATAGTTCCTCTCAATCAATAAAGATCTAAGCAGCGGAAAATAAAAGAAACAGCGCAGGCGACTCCTCTCCACAGGCAACTTGACCAAGGCTACGCCTAATCATCCACACTATCAGCATCACTGTAGAACTCCTCCTCTGATGAATGATTGCAAGGTGAGTATATGATATACTCAGCAAGCCACGCAACAATTAAGCAAGTGCACAGGATAACAAAGGATGGCATAGTATAGTCTCAATTGCTTAAA